TTGTTCCTTTTACTGGATGTGTGCGCGCTCCATGGGCCACTTCAAATGGAAATCACCATAACTAAACTTCTCATAAGGGCGGTGCACCACCGTGGCAGCTGCCACATAGCCCTTCCCTTTAAGGGTCAGCCATCCTGGTGACCCACATTGCTCAAACAAAGTCCTTTAAGTGCGCTGGAAGGCATCGCCCCCGTTGCAGTCTACCCACAGCAGGGGTCTCAGAATGTCCTGGTCAGCACAAGTTACGGTACAGTGTGGTACTTTGCCCCAACTCCTCCTCTGGGCGAGACGCCTAATGACACTTCCACCCGGTGTCCTGTTCACAGGGCCGGTACAGGGCAAGTCTAACCCTATGAACTACAACAGTCTAAATATGAACTACAACCCCTAAATTACTACAGGCTCTAGAGCTGCATGTTCAGCTCCTTCAGTGACAATGTTTTTCCTTTATGGATGGCGGAAGCCTTGCTGTCAGGGAGCCTTGACCCTCTGCCGCAGGATTTTACAGTCATGTGAGAGGAAATGTGTCTACCAAGCACTGACTAGCAGGTGAGAAAATAAACAGTGAAACGAATGATGGATGATACATGAGGCTAAAGCTAGCCCCAAACCAAGAGGCTTCATACACTCTGGGGCGACTCGTATCGTAACAGGAAAAAAAATAAACAAAAGAAGCTTGGTTTTGCAGATTTCCATTCGAAGAGACTCATGGAGTGTGCGCACCTTCTGTAAGAGGGAAATTCATGTTGTTTGCTGTTGCTGTCCTTAATTTGAGTTGTGTGTGTTTTATGTGTTGTTTTGTGTTGGGAGTATGGGTTCACTTACATTGGATTAGTGCTTACCACTAAGAAAAAGTACAGGGCCAGAAGTGATCTGCCTTCATTTCAGTTGTTTCTGCAGTGGCTTTTTCTACCTTGTTCTTCCATAAAGAACTTTATGGTGCAGAAATTATGGCCTAATTCGACTCTTCTTCTGATCGGTGCCACATTGGTGCTCAGAAGTCACATCTTGCTGCTGAGATACAAGAGCTCGAGCGGAAGATTGAAGACCTCAATGGAGGCTGGGGAAGACGAGGACAAGGCAACGAAAAAAGGAGCAAGTGGCAGGCAAGATGGCAGCGCAATGCAGCACTCCAGGTGCTCATGGAGCAGCATGGCGACTTTGTGGCAGTACAGTCAAAGATTTCTGTTTTCACATGTCAGTATTTGTAATGAGACTAAATTTTAGCACATGGTGATTTTTATATTGAAAAAGTGATAAGCCTGGGTGCCTTTTAAAGGGCCCAAATCCTACATTTTTCTTGTATTAAATACATTTCCTTGAGGTCCTCTGAAGACTGTGTGGTTCTATTAGTCCAAATTCATTTTTACATGACCTTTTTCCAACATCTCTTCATCTCTTAGAATAAAACTGGCTGTTGTTACTTTGCCTTTAAGACTGATTTGTAAATAATCACTGTCCTGACTGGCTGCCTCATTCAAAAAGCAGTTTATTTATTATTATTGTTAGTATTATTATGATTATTATTATTGCTGCTTTGATTGTGATTCAGACTTTAGCAGCAAACTAGGTTTGAAAACACTCTAAGAGTCACACAGGTTAAAAACAAAAACAAACACTTCCATTTCAGTGAGTAATAACACAAAACCACATTCAGTGGTATACAGTGGTCTCAGTGTCTCAATGACTGTCAGATGAGTCAGGAAAATTCATGTATATTTTATTAACAATGCTTCCTTTTGTGAGTCAGTTTTTGAAGGTTTAATATTGACACTGACAAATACTAGGATCCCTCTGAACCCTTGCAAGTGTGCTTTTAGCCTTCTAAAAATCGTATCATTATAAGACAGTATAAATTTCTTGGAATAATTTTTCATCCTTTTAAAGCTCCCTTACATTTTAAAGAATAGAATTTTCAAGCCAAATCATCTTTCTGGTGATTTGCTGTACCACCATAAAGGAATGCTTAACTGGAAAACCAAATGTATCAACTTTTCCCTCTTACCTCAAATGTAGTTGACCAGCTAAGACATGTTTGGTGTATAAAGATTGTTTTTTTTATGTGTTGCACTGAAGCTACATATATACTACATTCCCTTGCAAAAAAAAAATGGGCCAAGCCTGAAATACTAATGGTTTTCACAAATGGTTTTGGCCTGGTCAGAGTCCAGATTTAAACCGTATAGAGAATATTTGGTCTCACATTCAATGTTGAGTGGAACAATACTGAGTCTTCTTTCTCTAAAAGCGTGTCTGCAAGTTTACCCACAACATTTCAACATGTTAAGAAATTAAAGGGAAAAGTTTTCCCATACCAAGTTACTTTGTTTGTTTAATTGTTGCTAATTTACCAGCTAATGATTTATTGTTAATATCACTAAAAGCTTAGTGTTTTGCTATTTTGGGCTTGGCCCAATTTTTTGCACAGAAGTGTATATGGCCAAAAATATGTGTAGACCTGACTATCACACCTACATGAGCTTGTTGGACATCCCATTCCAAAATCGTGGGCATGAATATGGAGTATAACTGCCTCTGCTCTTCTGGGAAGGCTTTCCGTAAAATTTTGGAACGTGTCTGTGGGAACTTATGTCCATTCAAAAGAATATTTATGAGGTTGGGCACTGATGTTGGATGTGAAGGCCTGGCTCACAATCGAGGTCCCAATAAATTCCAAAGCTGTTCAGTGGCATTGAGGTCAGGGCTCTGTGCAGGTCACTGAAGTTCCTCCACAACAAACTCAAAAAATCATGTCTTTATAGATCTTGCTTTGTGCACAGAGACACAGTCATGCTGTAACAGGAAAGGGCCTTCTGCCATAAAGTTGGAAGCATATAGTTCATTGTCTCTGCGTGTGAAATATCTTTGTATGTTGTAACAGTAACATTACACTTCACTGGAAATAAGGGGCCAAGCCCAAACCCTGAAAAACAGCCTCAGGCCATTATCATTCCATCACTATGCACCTACCTACACATTCCGGTAGGTGATGTTCTCCTGGCAAGCGCCAAATACACATTCATCCATCAGACCGGCGGACAGTGAAGTGTGATTCATCACTCCAGACCAACACTTTTCCACTTCAGTGGGGTCATGACTCACACCACTCCAGCTGACGTGCGCACTGTGGGCTTGAAGATGTCAACGAACAGTTTTGTTCTGATGTTGCTTCCAGAGGCAGCCTGGGATTCTGCAGTGGCTGAGCTTTTGTTGCTCCTGGACACTGTCCATTCCACAATAATAGCACTTACAGTTAACTGGGGCAGATCTAGCAGGCCAGAAATTTCACAAACTGACTTGTGGCCAAAGAAGCATTTTATAGCAGTGCCACATTTAAAGTCACCAAGCTGTTCAGCATGACTTCAGTACCTGTTAGCAATGAGTGTGACACTTAAACACTGTAAGGCTAAAACACCTGAACTCAATCATTGGAAGGGATGCCCACATACTTTTGGCCTAATTTACATGAGCTAATATAATAATGTCTGTGTTACCCAGAATGATTTCCATTACTTGTTAACTACATTAGCCTCATAGCTGCACACTTCAGACTAAATATGACTTGGCTGATCCGCTTCATTTGGGGTAAAGGGGAACACTGTGTAAGATAAGTTAGAAGCCTCCACTCCTGTCCATTTCCACACTTTAAAAAGTTTCATCCAACAACATTTTCCTGCAACATGACATTTGCATGTTGCAATGCTTTCAAATGTAACTGTCTACAGAATAATAGAAACATGTTTATAATGTGGCCGTGTCTGACTGAAAGTCGTCAGCTTTGAATTATAAGGTCCTATCTTATAACATACATACCTGTAAGCTGGTCTCATTAGGAGCTGATGTGTGTAATTTGAGAGGGGTTGAGTAATATAACCTCTATGTTTAAACAGTCTGATTAAAAAAACATACAAGGACAAAAAACCCAACAAAACACTGAAATCAAAACAAACGCCTCATGAGCAATTGCAGATTTTTAGCAATCCTTCATCTGCACAATATCAGCTGCAGGAGCCCTAACAATTGAAACCAGCAGCTCAAAGACCAAGAATTTAAAACACTCACCCCCGTCTGGACTGTGATTGGTCACGCTGTACATCAACCAAACATTACAATTTACACAAAAATTAGAAGCAAAATTCTTAATACATTTTAATAACTGATGTAGTTTAACAGTTTAATAAGGTGATACAAGGTGTATGCTCTGATTGTTGTGAAATCAGACAAGTCAACTTTAATTCAGACATTATTCAGACAGGTCAACTTTAAAATAAAACATTATTTATTCTGAATATTTGAAGCAAGAGATGTTTTAACTCAAGAATAACATATGCTGTAGTCATGCAATGCAAAAAATACAAAGGTACATTAAAATAAGCTCACATTAAAGGTGCATCATAATACGTACATTTTTTTGTTGTTTTTTTGTTTTATCCACAAAGGGCCGATGTGGCTGTAGGTTTTCATTCCAATCAAGCAGGAGCACACCTGATTCTACAGCTTTAATAAATTGCTCTCAGTCTTCAAACAACTGATCATGGTTGCTCCTGCTTTGTTGGAGCAAAAACTTGAAAGCACACTGGACCTTTTTGGATAAGACTGGACACTTCTGGTCTAAGGACTACCTACAAACACTGTGAAGCAGATACTCAGAAGAACTGACTGAGACTGAATTGAGTGGTAAGATGGTCTCATTAGGTATTTCAGTAGTTTGTGAAGATCCTTGTGACTGGGGCTGATAGCCCCCAGAGTCCATTTGGGCAGGTCTGACATCACAGGGTTGGAACTGGTTGTCGACATTCTGTATTTGAGGCATGTAACCTAACACTAGATTATCATCATCTGGAAGGGACAGAGGAATGTTGTATGTAGGATTCTGAATCCCTGGGGATGGGACCTCTGTTTAGGAAAGGTTGATGGCGAGGGGAGAAACAGAATCACAAACATCATTGTAGTATCTCATCCACAGTGGATCTGTGGATTTAAGACCAACCTCTTCTTGTGCTTTCTGCACCTGTAGCATACCTTGTGGACAAGGTTCTGGATTTTTCACCATAAGCGTCTCGCTTTCTGCAAGCAGAATCTTATCCATGATGTAGGTGAGACCTCTACAACAAATCATAAATCCAAATGCATTAGCTCAAAAATTTATCAAGTATATTTAGATAATTTACAATTTAAGTAATAGTTAAGTTAAAAAAAAACATATGTTACTAATAATGAATAAAGAGAACGGACACTAGTTATTATTATGCAAATGACATCAAGCTAATCTTTATGCTACCTTCTGTTTATCATCAGTATGGGTGTGACTATACACATATTTTCACATTAGATACAATCTTTGATTGTTACTTTATTATTATTACTTATTATTGTGCAAAACTCAGACACCAATTTAATTTCCAAAGACAGCCATTGAATATGTTACTGGTTTTGTCAGAAAAAGTACAGATAATATATATTTAACAAACAGTTACAGAGAAGCCCTGACAACTAAGTATGATATCAAAATGTCTCAGTATAGGACAAATCAGCCTTATGTCAAAACAGCTTATTTCTCAGTGGGTAACGCAGGTAGAGCTGCACTGATACAGCAGGATTTGTACTAACTCTGACATTTATTTACCCAAGATAGTATAAAAACAACAGCTTTTGAAAATGATCTTATCAGGTCAATAACTTCACATTTTTGTGTATATTTTTTGTCATATAATCATGAGCATGCAGCAGTCACACAGTTCACTGCAGGGTTTAATAAAAAAGCATTTGCTTTATAAAGGTGTTTACCTGCTGCCCATTAATAACAAGAAGTGACCCAAACATGAACCAACAGAATTTATGGTTCTAATTTTAATCCTACCTCTTTTGCCAAATGCTCAAGAGACAGCTGGAACTGTTTATAATAACCATGTTTAATGATTTAATGGTCTTTTTGGTCTTTATTTTGGACTTTGGTTATTCAAAGGCATCTAATTTGGCTAATACTGATTTGATTTATATACTGTGTTCACCCTTTGCCTTTATTACAGCTTCCATTCCTTTCAGTAGACTTTCAGTTTTTCAAAGAAATCTGCAGAGATATTTTTCCACACCTCTAAAGTTCAGTCTTAGAAGCTGGTTGCACATTGGTTCACATATGTTTAGGGTTACATAAATTCTAATGGCTCTGGAGTGGCCAGTCCATTGTTCTGACAACACCAGCAGCTCCTTTGATATTGAAATGTGGACATTTTTGTCCATTTTTTGTCTAGCAAGATTTTCTCCTTTCTCTCAAAGTACTTTAAGTGTTATTTATCCAATGGTAACAGTTTTCGTGGCCTACCAGGTCTTGTGCTGTTATTAGGAGTCCCATTTTCTCTATAAGTTTTTTAGAATTTTTTTTTTAATCCTGTTTTTTCTCTTATTTTCCTTTGACTTCTCCCTCCTTATGCAAGTGGATTATCTTAGATTTATAAACAAAACAAACAGTTCTGATCACTATCAGTGATTTCCACAAAATGCAGCAAATGAGAAACACAAGGGAGATCCTGAGGTGTGTATTGGTAATAGAGTCTTAATTTCTGATACACTGTTTATTTTTTCAGTACTGTTTCGAAACTGCTGCACAGTTCATTTTTAGCCAACCTAGTTTGCATGATTGGTCCATCGAGTCCTTTAAGAATACAGAGCAACATCTGTTTTATGAACTGAAGAACAGCACTGAGCGCTCATTTGTGTAAATCATTCTTCTGAGAGTACTGGTGTAGTATCTGAATACAGTTTTCACTTTAACCTGTTGGAATTTATCCATAGTAGCAAAGTGCAGTGGAAAATCAGGTTTTATTAAAAAGATCACAATTAAGAAGTTTTCCCTCTAGACTAACAAAATGTAAAATATTAGTCCAGAAAAGGTTCCATACCATTCCCTCTTGCTGCAGCAAAGGACAATCATGGCAATGACACAGGCTAATGTACCCAAAGCTATAAGAATGCTGAAAACCAATGTGTAAACTGCAGACACAAGAAGTGTTATTTTTACACAGTCATACATGGCATGGTCATCCCTGATTCATTTTCTATGAAATGCCTCTTATTAGAAAGTTGTACTCTATATAGTAGGCTAATGTACACAGTAAAACAATGAGCACAACAAAAAGGTAAAAACTTTGCAAACATACCCTGCTGATCCACTGAGAGAGTGATATTAGATCCAGGACCCTCTCCTGCAGATGTAAAGGCCTTCACTGTAAATGTATAGTCACCAGGACGAAGATTCAACAGCGTATGTGTTCGAACACTGGGGCCTACAATCAGTGACTCTAATACATAGATAAAATATGACACATTCCGTGTAAACAACAGAAACAATACATCCAACATATGCCTCATAATAACATACCATGCATTCTGTGCATGGAAATCAGTTTTAAAGAGTAAAAGGTAAACTAAACATACCTTGAAGAAATGCATCTTTTTTGTCTCCATCTTCATTTTGATCGTCATTGGGACGCTTGTAAGACACAATATATCCCAATAAAAAGCCCTTCTTCTCCTCTTCAATCATGTCTTCCCAGGAAAGCTCAACATTCATGCCATACTGCTTTGCTTTTAGACTGAGAACCCTCCCTGATGGGGCTGACAACAAAAGATTGAAGGCAGAGACCAGAGGAAGATGATGGGGAAAGCAAGCACAAAACAAAGAGTTCAATTACAGAATAGAGAGGAATGTGCTGCCAAGACAAAGCATCACTGTATTTACAACACTTCCCATCATAGACACTGAAAATAAGGGTTCCTAAAACAATTCATGGTTTGGACAGTTCTAGGAGAAACCTTCAATTGTTACAGAACAGTTACACTATAGTTTCTTTGAAATAAAAAAGGTCACATTCGCACATCACCTTTACAAAATCATCTACTGAAAAGTTCTCTAGGAAGAAGTGGTTCTTCAATGGCTTGGCTCCAAAGAACCTTTTAAGATTGTATAATTTACCCCCAAAAAAATTCTTGGAAACTTATCCACAGTCCTGATAAACAGTAGTCCAGTTTCATGGAATGAAAGAGTTTGTCCGTCCAATACTCAAGAGATCTTATTATACAGATCTGCAAATAATAGATTCAAACAGCCTCTCGTGCAAAATTATACAAGTCTGAAAAGCTTCCTTTGCTTCCTCTTTAATCAACACGCACTGTCTAACAAAGTCTGCCACACTGACAAAAACAGGAAGCATTGTGTCCTGTCAAGGCTTTTGTCAAGGTTAAAATAAAAGGGAATATTGGCTGCTTACCTAGCTCTTTCACATAGCCTTCTCTTCTCTGCAGTAGCTGTGGGGCTCCTGAAGTGCACGCATAGACTGAGAGAGTGTACTTTACCCCATTTTTAAAATCTGTAGCCATATCATGGAACAAGCAGGTAATGTACAGAGGCCAGAAATGACAATGTGAATTTTCAGCATGAGGATAAGAAGTTATAATGTCTATAAATCAAACTATCTGGTATTTCTGATATAGTTACCATTCAGTTTGTACTCCAGTTGTGGTATACAATGCAATTGTTAACTGCACAAAATAATATAAACTACTGAGTATTACTACTACTATTACTTGAGTATTACATATGCAAAAGTTTGGGCACCCCAGTAAAATTATGTTTTTGTAAATTTTCCAAGTAAAAATAAGTCTCTACAGAGAACACATTTCTGAACTTTTTAATTTGCTAATTTTAACATATTAGGGAAAAAATGAAACAAAATGCAGCCTAGTTTTAACTTTAAAAATAAAAACATGTGATTTGATTGAGGGATGCCCAAACCTTCTCACACAACTGTACATACGCATTACATCTTTTAATGAAGCCAGCATTGTCATTGCCATATTAAAAACAAAAAATTTCCTTGGATCTGTGCTATTAGAAGACAGCTGCTGTCTTTCTTTTTTTTGCAAATTTACCCAGCTTCCTCTACATCTTTCTGAACCGCCACTAATGTTACGTCATTGGACAGCTCAGCACAATTTGAGAAGAGCGCTAACTGCCACCTCTGTTACGGCAGCTAATAGATGCCCACATTGGCTACCCTCATGCTGAGTGATGGCATCCTACCCTCCCAGAGAAAGCAAGGACAATTATGCTCTCTTGGACTCTCAGCCATGGATGGCTGTGGCATCACCGGGGATCAAACTCACCATCTCCCGACATTATGGTCAGTGCTTACATGGTAGCACCACTTTGGAGCCCAGACCTTCACATTTCTGTGAACATTTCATGATGAATGGACAGCAAAGGTCACCCAAAATCACTTGGAATAAAACCTTGTTACATTAACAAACTTTGAGAATGCTTTTACATTTTGCTATAAAATTACCATTTCAGAGATACAAGATTTTGACATGACAATATACTGGTTTGGATACATATATTTTTAACTTTTTCCTGAGTACTGACCTGAGTAAATTGTGGCATCTGAGACACCAGAGGGGATCTTCATCCATTTTACAGCACACTGCTCTGTATTGTATGTTGGAAACCAGTCCACCACATAGCCGCAGCTGGAAATGGGGCTTGGATCCCAAGACATACTAAAACTACCGTTATGTCCTATGATGGTATCAGTGATAATACCACCATCTGCAAAGTAAATGAGATAGTAAATTAAATGTTATACTTGTGGTCATCCCATTCCATACAATCAAAGCAAGAGTGTAATGTGTCTAAATCTGAATTTGTACCTGACTGTAGGTTGGGGATGGTGATTTTGGAGGGAGGAGAGACACCAACAGAGTTCTTGGCAGAAATGGAGATAAAATAATCTCGTTCTGCTCTCCTGGGGCTGAGTTTGAGACAGTGGTCATTTGTGGCTTTGCTGATGTGCTCTTTGGTCACGTCTGTGGCGCTTCCTAAAAGCAGCTCATAGCCTGTAATAATCCCATGACTCTGATGCGCAGTTAAACTCTGTGGAGCAGTTAAAATAAAAATTGCAGGCTGTTGATGGATGTTGATTTATTTGACAAAAATAGGGAAAATCATCAAGTGCACTTACCTTCCATGCAGCATAAGTGTGTCCATTAAGAACTTGCATCCACGCATCTACAGCTTCTGGAACTGTGGAGAAACAGAGTGCACTCAAAATTGATATGGCCTGGGAAAACAGACATATCTTTATATATACACATAAAGCTGGGTGATACAGCAAAAATGTAGTATCACAATACTTCAAAAAGTTTTTGCAGTACACAATATGACATTTCTTTTTTATGACATCTGATACACTGGAACAGACAATGTAATGCCACATTTAAAAATGATATTAAAACCTATAATTCCAATTATTTTTATTCAATGTTCACATACTGCAGTACTCTAAATCCAGTTAAACAGGACATATTGTACTCTTTTTGTAGTCAAACATGTAGTTGGGAAGTGTTTTCAAGGACTGACGAGCATACTGTGACATATTGCGACGTAATTTATCCCAATAATGGTAAATATAGTCATACTGCCGAGCACTGTATACACAGTACTGTGTAGATCTTTTATGCAGTCATGAAAATTGATTTCCAGACAATACTGCCATTAAGTAATGGTTATTTTTTGTGCCCAGATTAGTTCACCTCCTCTTAAATGGAACTTAAATTTGGCAGTTTTACATTTCCCCAGTATGTTACATTCAGAAAATAAACAGCAACTGTGCATTAAAATTTGCAGATGTGTTAACTTATTTTCACTTCAATCAACAAAAGATGTAATATGACTGGAGCGCCTATGACGGTGTGTGTGTTAAACTTGTTACATATTATAAATGCAAATAATTATTTTTAAAAATTAGTATAAAATACATATTATTATTATTATTATTATTATTATTATTATTAGTAGTAGTAGTAGTAGTAGTAGTAGTAGTAGAAGTAGTAGTAACAGTGGTAGTGTTAACAGCATTTAGCTGTTTTAATCTTTACATACAGTATAAAACAATAAGATAAAACAGAATCATAAGCCAACTCTGATATCAATGAACCAATAAAAAACAGCAGGAAGTATAATTACGTAACTGTTCCTGTATGAAATATCAATCAAATCAAGAATTCAATTGCTTAGGTGACATCAGAATCACAAACATAGACAATACACTTACAGGCACATACTGTGAATATGTGTTTTGCATGCTTACTGTCTTCTTTGGTAGAGAAGGTGATGAGGTTACTCCAGTCACCCCACTTATAAAAATGTTCACGAGAGCCACAACGCACACGAGCTGAGTATCCAGTAAAGGGCTGCAGGTCTGCCAAGACCAGTGACTTGAGACCAGTTCCACTAAATGTTTCCTTTATCAGAAATGTGCAGAATCACTTAAAAACGTATAATGACATTACAGCTGTCATGATAACAACATGAACATTGATCTATTGCTAAAATAATCATCTAACTAAGAAGATGCCTGATATCTGATCATTACTTCATAACACAAAAATAAGTTAATTAATAGCCCTGAAAGTAAACACCCACCTGAACAGTGTGTCCATCCACCTCCACTTGGCAAATCATTGGGAAGGAATTGAATTTTGGCATTTCACCCCATTGCCATTCAAGTGTGGCATTCCTTGCATGAACTAAAACTGCACTTGTAAGCGTGGGTGCTTTGAGTCGTACTACAGAAAAGCCAGAACATGTTTTGGTTAATCACATTATTGAATATAGATATACTGCAAATATCAGTGGTATAATCTGTGTTTGGGAAATACTTTACCCCTGTGTTTTGGATCAGCTACATCACTGATTATCTTTGTGCCGAGGACGTTTGTGGCAATTAATGTCCAATTCATTACCCCCTTATCTATGCTTTCATCCAGTACACACATATGAGCTGAGCAATTCCTAAGTGACAAAGGTGCACAAGAGGGCAAAGAGAGGCATAAATACCACAAAATATGGAATAAGTTATAATATTACAAACAATAATCATTTCTATTTAATAAGATAAAGAGTGGAGTGGGTGGTCTTAGTAGAGCCCTGGGTACCTTTTATTGACTGTGTAATGTACTTTAAACAGGTGTGATTTGCCGGTTTCCCCAGGGATCCAGTGACATTCCACAGAATTGAGATCTCTCGTCTCACATGTAAGATCCTGGTCTTTAGGGGCATCTGCAGTGGTCAGTCACATCAGCAATTTAAAATCAACACCCGCAAAATAATATTCAGCAAATGATCCGATGATTATGGAAAGTTGAAGAAATACTCCAGCATTTTTCAGTCAAATCTCTCTGCCACAGATACATTATACTGTCACATTACAGACTATAATTTCAACATGTTTCCCTGTGCTTAGAAAAGAACTGAAAACCCACTGACTCAAAACTTGCGAGTAACAAAATCAATTAGCCAGTTGCTGAATTCCATGAATAAATGTATAAAATATGAATATTTAACAAAATAAAATCTATGATCATTTAACAATACAGGTGCAAGAATGAGACAGAGGGCCAGAGTTTTTTGGGCCAGTTTCAGGCTCAAACTGGATGCATTCTTTAAGCGTTATGTAAAAAAACTGGAGCCTGAGCCTAGTTTCACACAGTTAACCCTAACATGGATGTGTGCATGGAAAAAACTATTTTTTTTCTCCTTCATGCATATGCAAAAGTGGGTGGAGGTAGAGCAAATGTGGCTAATCACATATTATGCTAGATTTACTAAAGTTTGAGCAACTTGCAGTGGCTGGTTTTGCATGAATTGTGATTAGTGATAGGAGTTTTTCCTATGGCAGGGAAAAATAATAGTGTTACCACCTGAGCAGGGATTTGATCCCTTGTATCCAAAATACAAGAACACACTTCAGCACACGTTAATGCATAATTACTATTTGTTTGCTAAATGGAACATATTGGGGGAAAAAACTGAACATAAAATATAGCCTGTGCAAATGTTATGTCACATTTTATATTTTTTGTTTTACTTTTTCTTAAGATTCAGCAAATAAATAGAAATTGTGCACTAAAATTGGCAGAAAAATTAATATTTAAGTTTGTCCCCTGTTGAGAAACTTTTCAGTTAGAAAATCAACAAAACATCATTTGTCTGGGGGTGTTAAAACTTTTGCATAGGATTACATATGGTTGTTGTTCAAAATAACCACTACAATGTGATGCTTTCTTGAAAACACATTGTCGGTGCTTTGCAGCAGGCTTTGGAGTGATATGCTGATGTGTGCAGATTCTGAAATCTCTACAAGTGGTTGGTACTGTGCCAAAGCCCAAGA